TCCCATAGCTCCTCCGCTCTTCTCCGAGCTCTTCAGCTCTTCTCCGAGCTCCTTGGCTCGTCCCAGAATTTCTCAGCTCTTCTTCGAGCTCTTCGGCTCGTCCTAGAGCTCCTCAACTCTTCTCCGCTCTCTTCGGCTCGTGCCAAAGCTCCTCAGCTCTTCTCCAAAATCCTCGGCTCGTCCCAGAGCTCCTCAGCTCTTCTCCGAGCTCCTCGGCTCGTCCATGAACTCCTCAGCTCTTCTTCGCGCTCCTCCGCTCGTCTCGGAGCTCCTCAGTTCTTCACCGAGCTCCTCGGCTTGTCCCAGAGCTCCTCAGCTCTTCTCTAAGCTCCTAAACTCTTTTCCGAGATCCTCGGCACATCCCAGAGCTCCTCACCTTTTCTCTGAGCTCATCCGCTTGTCCCAAAGCTCCTTAACTCTTCACCGACCTCCTTGGCTCATCCTAGAGCTCTTCAGCTCATCTCTGAGCTCCTCGGCTCGTCCCAAAGCTTTTCAGCTCTTCTCCAAACTCCTCGACTCGTCCCATAGCTCCTCAGCTCTTCTCTGACCTACTCCGCTCGTCCCACAGCTCCTCGGCTCTTCTATATCATGAACTACGAACAGCTTGATCCCATCAAAGGATACGTAGGCAGCCTTATTTACAAGGCACATCTGTTAGGACAATACGAGCTCCTCAGTTCTCTTCCGAGTTCCTTAGCTCGCTCTCCAGCTCCTAAGCTTGCTCTCAAGCATCAAGCTCGTCTTCAATAATCAAGCATGTCTTTTACCACAATCGATCCATCCTCCTCAACTAATCCCATGAATAAACTGTCATTTGAAGTCCAATTGATCCGCCTAAGTTTCGAGCTCGTTATTAATAGAAATATTCTTCTTACTTCCCTAAAGATCCCTATTTTCGTACTTTTGTGATTTTGTGCATCAACAGTTGGCGCGCCATGTAGGAGGACACCGTAAGGCACTTTTTTCCTAGTAACATGATCGTTATCCCTCGTTTTTTTGTATATGTAGACCTAGGAGTTTGTACTGAATACGTCAGCAACAACTAGATGGAAGGCGAGGCCACCATTCTACCTGTGGATCACATATTCCGCGAATTGGTCTAGAGTACGCTTGCCCTTCAGGAACTCCAATGTTAGATGTTCTGCGTGGCTAGTCGGGTGACGAGGCCAGGGAATTGAGTCCAACAGAAAGGCGGCTCGGCTTTCTCTCGAGCATCACATCCAAATCCCTCCTTCTGGATTGCCCAGACCCGCCAAAGTGTGGCCGTTCCCAATCCAAGCAGCCGCATTTACGGTCCTTGATTTCGGATCGTCTCTGTTCTGAAGAACGGTGAGGCGGTTTTCTACCCAGTCAAATGCTATGATCACCATTCTTTATCTCTCTTTCTTTCAAAGTGTATATATCTTTACTGTTGCTCTGTGTTTGTTCTTTTTTGTTGTGATTTTGTTTTGTGACCCATGCTCTGTTTTTATAGCCGAGAGATGATTCAACTGTGTTCTGCTTTTTCCTTTACTTGTCAACTTCTTCCAATGTAAATACCCCAAAGCGCTTAAGAGCTTCTTTATCCATTTTTGGATATAGCTTTTGCTACTTTCTGTTACCATCATACATACTCTCTATTGACAGCCCTGCGGCGCTTCGATCGTCTAGCCTCAAGAATGGTAACGGACGAGTCAAACATCGCGTTTGCCCCACGCGCGACCTTCCGTTTTCCTTACCTCGAGAATACCAAAAGCAACTCGCTCCGAATCATTACACGCATGATGGTCAGATTTCGCAAAGAAAGAACTTCTAGAATCCTGATCCACGTCATCAACGACGAATGAGGATTGGGGGGCAACTGTTAGGGGATGAATTTGGCCTATTCAACCCAAGGCCCAAAACCTTCTCAAAGCCCAAATCCGGACAAAGTCCCAAAGCGGATTAAGGCCCACGGCGAGTAAAGCTCGCTATGGACGACTAACATACTCCATAAAATCGAAGAGCAGATCCGTCAAATTCCCTCGAAATATGCCATACACGAAACGCTATAAATACATGAACACAAGTTTTATCACATCCATGTCCAATCCACGCTGAGACGCAGGGAGAACGCATGAAGTTCGTCACAGAGCTCTTTATTTCTTTTTCGAGATCTTCTACTCGTCCCAGAATTCCTTAGCTCTTCCGCTCGTCCCAGAATTCCTCAGCTCTTCTTCGATCTCTTCGGCTCGTCCAAGAGCTCCTCAGCTCTTCTCCGCTCTCTTTGGCTCGTCCCAGAGCTCCTCACCTCTTCTCCAAGCTCCTCGGCTTGTCCCAGAGCTCCTCAGCTCGTCTCTGAACTCCCAGCTCTTCTCCGCTTCTCTTCCGCTCGTCCTGGAGCTCCTCAGCTCTTCACCAAGCTCCTCGGCTTGTCCCAGAGCTCCTCAACTCTTTTCCGAGCTCCTAATCTCTTCTCTAAGATCCTCGGCACATCCCAGAGCTCCTCACCTTTGCTCTTAGCTCATCCGCTCGTCCCAGAGCTCCTCCGCTCTTCACCGAGCTCCTCGGCTCATCCTAAAGCTCTTCAGCTCTTCTCTGAGCTCCTCGGCTCGTCCCAAAACTCCTCAGCTCTTCTCCGAACTCCTCGGCTCGTCCAGAGTTCTGCAGCTCTTCTCCACCATCCTCCGCTCGTCCCACAGCTCCTCGGCTCTTCTATAACATGAACTACGAACAACTTGATCCCGTAAAAAGGTACGTAGGCAGCCTTGTTTACAAGGCACAACTATTAGGACAATCCGAGCTCCTCCGCTCTCTCCCTAGTTCCTTAGCTCGCTCTCGAGCTCCTTAGCTCGCTCTCGAGCTCCTTAGCTCGCTCTCAAGCATCATGCTCGTCTTCAATAATCAAGCATGTCTTTTACCACAATTGACCCATGCTCCTCAACTAATCCCATGAATAGACCGTCATTTGAAGTCCAATTGTTCTGCCTAAGTTTCTGGCTTTTTATTAATAGAAAGATTCTTCTTACGTGATTATGTGATCCTTATTTTCGTACCTATGTGATTTCGTGTATCAACAGGTTGCGCGCCAGCTAGGAGGACACTATAAGGGACTTTTTCCTAGTAACATGATCGTTATCCTTTGTTTTTTTTGCATATGTAGACCAAGGAGTTGGTATCGAATATGTCAGCAACAACTAGATGGAAGGCGAGGCCACCGTTCTGCATGTGGATCACATATTCCGCGAGTACGCTTGCCCTTCAAGAACTCCAATGTTAGATTTTCTATGCGGCTAGTCGGGTGACGAGGCCAGGGAATTGAGTCCAACAGAAAGGCGGCTCGGCCTTCTCTCGAGCATCCCATCCAAGTCCCTCCGTCTGGATTGCCCAGACCCGCCAAACTGTGGCCGTTCCCAATCCAAGCAGCCGTATTTACTATCCTTGATTCTGGATCGTCTCTGTTCTGAAGAACGTTGAGGCGGTTTTCTACCCAGTCAAATGCTATGATCACCATTCTTTATCTCTCTTTCTTTCAAAGTGTATATATCTTTACTGTTGCTCTGTGTTTGTTCTTTTTTGTTGTGATTTTGTTTTGTGACCCATGCTCTGTTTTTATAGCCGAGAGATGATTCAACTGTGTTATGCTTTTTCTTTTACTTGTCAACTTCTTCCAACGTAAATACCCCAAAGCGCTTAAGAGCTTCTTTATCCATTTTTGGATATAGCTTTCGCTACTTTCTGTTACCATCATACATACTCTCTATTGACAGCCCTGCGGCGCTTCGATCGTCTAGCCTCAAGAATGGTAACGGACGAGTCAAACATCGCGTTTGCCCCACGCGCGACCTTCCGTTTTCCTTACCTCGAGAATACCAAAAGCAACTCGCTCCGAATCATTACACGCATGATGGTCAGATTTCGCAAAGAAAGAACTTCTAGAATCCTGATCCACGTCATCAACGACGAATCAGGATTGGGGGGCAACTGTTATGGGATGAATTTGGCATATTCAACCCAAGGCCCAAAACCTTCTCAAAGCCCAAATCCGGACAAAGTCCCAAAGCGGATTAAGGCCCACGGCGAGTAAAGCTCGCTATGGACGACTAACATACTCCATAAAATCGAAGAGCAGATCCGTCAAATTCCCTCGAAACACGAAACGCTATAAATACATGAACACAAGTTTTATCACATCCATGTCCAATCCACGCTGACACGCAGGGAGAATGCATGAAGTTCGTCACAGAGCTCTTCCTTTCTTTTCCGAGATCTTCTACTCGTCCCAGAATTCCTCAGCTCTTCCGCTCGTCCCAGAATTCCTCAGCTCTTCTCCGAGCTCCTCAATTCTTCTCCGAGCTCCTCCGCTCGTCACTGAGCTCTGCAGCTCTTCACCGAGCTCCTCGGATTTTTCAGAGCTCCTCCGCTAGTCCAAGAGGTCACCCCTGCTATGTTTTTATAGCGGAGAGATGATTTAACTGTGTTCTACTTTTTCCTTTACTTGCCAACTTCTTCCAACGTAAATACCCCAACGCGCTTAAGAGCTTCTTTATCCATTTTTGGATATAGCTTTTGCTATTTTCTGTTACCATCATACATACTCTCTATTGACAGCCGTGCAGCGCTTCAATGGTCGAGCCTCGAGAATTGTGACGGACGAGTCAAACGTTGCGTTTGCCCCACGCGCGACTTTCGGTTTTCCTAACCTCGAGAATACCAAAGATCAATCCGCTACGAATCATTACACGCACAATGGTCAGATTTCGTGAAAAACGAACTTCTAGAATCTTGATCCACGTCATAAACGACGAATCATGATTGGGGGCAACTGTTTGGGGATGAATTTGGCCTATTCAACCCAAGGCCCAAAACTTGCTCAAAGCCCAAATCCGGGAAAATGCCCAAATCGGATTCAGGCCCACGGCGAGTAAAGCCCGCTATGGACGACCAACATACTTCACAAAATTGAAGTACAGATCCGTCAAATTCCCTCGAAGTACGCACTACACGAAACGCTATAAATACAGGAACGCAAGTACTATCACATATATGTCCAATCCACGCAGACACGCAGGGAGAACGCATGAAGCTCATCCCAGAGCTCCTCAGCTCTTCTCCGAGCTCTTCAGCTCGTCCCAGAGCTGCTCAGCTCTTCTCCGAGCTCCCCGGCTTGTCCCAGGGCTCCTCCGCTCGTCCAAGAGCTCCTCAGCTTTCCTCTGAGCTCGTCCGCTCGTCCCAGAGCTCCTCCGCTATTTTCTGCGCTCCTCGGCTCGTCCCAGAGCTCCTCAGCTGTGCTCCGAGATCCTCCGCTCGTCACAGAGCTCCGCAGCTCTTCACTAAGCTCTTCGGCTCGTTCCATAGCTCCTCGGCTCGTTCCAGAGCTCCTTAGCTCTTCTCCGAGCTCCTCCGCTTGTCAAAGAGTTCCGCAACTCTTCACTAAGCTCCTCGGCTCGTCCCATAACTCCTCAGCTCTTCTCCGAGCTCTTCGGCTCGTCCCAGAGCTCCTCAGCTCTTCTCCGCGCTCCTCCGCTCGTCCCAGAGCTCCTCAGCACCGAGCTCTTCGGCTCGTCCCAGAGTTCCTCAGCTCGCCCAGAACTCCTCAGCTCTTCTCCGAGCTCTACGGCTCCTCTTAGAGCTCCTCATCTTTTCACCGAGCTCCTCTGCTCATACGGAGCTCCTCAGCTCTTCTCCGAGCTTCTCGGCTCGTCCCATAGCTCCTCAGCTCTTCTCTGAACTTCTAGGCTCGTCCCAGAGCTCCTAAGCTCTTCTCCGAGCTCCTCTGCTCGTCTCAGAGATCCTCGGCTCTTCTATAACATGAACTATGAACGGCTTGATCCCTTCAAAGGGTATGTAGGCAGCCTTGTTTACAAGGCGCAGCCCCGAGCTCCTTAGGTCACTCTCAAGCATCAAGCTCGTCTTCAATCATCAAGCATGTCTTTTAGCAGAATCGACCCGTCCTCCTCAAATTATACCATGAAGAGACCGTCCTTTGAAGTCCGATTGATCCGCCTAAGTTTCAGGCTCGTTATTAATAGAAAGATTATTCTTACTTCCCTATAGATTACTATTTTCGTATTTGTGTGATTTCGTGCATTAACAAACTTTCAGGAAGAGAAATCCATAAAAACACAGCAATAAGAGCTGAACATACCAAAATTGATGTTATTGTGTTTTGTGAGTTTATATACAGTATTGCTAAATAAAATCTGTGAGAATTTTTACATATTTATCTATAAGAAAAATCCATACTATGTTTTATTAACATAATCGAAAGTGATTAATTTTCCTAAACTCTCAAAATAGTTATAGAAAATATAGTAAGTGGTTTAGCCAAATAAGTAATGAGATTTATATACATACCATATTATTAAGCTTGTTGAGGAAGAATTCTAATTTCAAAGATACTATTATTTTTCTTAAATAAATGAAACTAGTTATCTATAGTTTTAAATTTATTTTTGGTAAGATTTATCTTTTGAAATAGAAAACTAAATTCAATTTGTAAACATTTAAGTAAACAGGCGTATATACATACATGTATACTAGATTTTAACCCGCGATACATCGCGGGATAATTTATTTTTAAAGTTAGTATAAGAATATTTTGTAAATTGTATCTCCTTATAAAATATTTATTTATATTATAGTTTACTATTGTTATTAAGTAACGGTATACCACGAATCCGCGAGACAATTGTTAATAAACTGAGGATTTTACCCGTATTCAAGCGGCATGTTAATGATATTTATAAATATTGATTCAAATTTGTCCGCCATATAAACCCGTTCCAAAATATAACTCGTTCCATAATTTCTTAACCCGTCCCGTGATTTATTTTTATTTTAAAATTTCATGATTATTTATTATATATAAAAGTTTACAAATCATTTCATTCTCTAAGACATTTATATTTTAATAAACTGAAGATTTAATCTGTATTAAAGCGGCATGTTAATGATATTTTAAAATTTTATAAATATTGATTCAAACTCGTCCACCATATAATTTCGTTCCGAAATATAACTCGTCCTGTAACTTGTTAACCCGTCATGTAACTTGTTAACCCGTCCCGTGATTTGTTTTCTAAAAGTAGTAATTTTTAAAATTTAACGATTATTTATTATATATAAAAGTTTGCAAACGAGTTTCCGGCTCGTTTTTTCTTCCTTGGAATTCGTGGCTAGGTGGTGGTTTCTCTGAGCATAAGCATCGAGGCTTGGTGGCGGTGGTGCAAAGCGTCTCGGCTCTGGAAGCTAGGAAGCAAGTTGAGCCTCTTGTCGTGATTAACCTCCAGATGCTCTTCCCTGAGGTGTTGTGGTTGCTCCAAGGACGGCAACCTGGTTCTTGTGAGGAGTGTTTCCGTCGAAGTTTCCGGCAGGTGAGGCTCCATTCCCTTGTCTTTGGTCACGGCGGAGCCGTCGTAATGGTAAGGTGAGTTGTCTTCGTCCGTTTTTTTTTCTCCGGTGTGAGTAGGTCGGCGGCTTCATTGGGCGATGCTTCCCTGTTTGGTCTCTTTGCAAAGGTCTTTATCTGGGTTCTTTTCATGGTGTTGGTTTCTCCGGTCGATCGTGCTTCGTCTGAGTAGGGACTCGTTAGATCTTGGCCAGGATCCGACGAGTGCGGACACCGTTTTTTTTATACGGCGCCGGAAACTCACTCTCACATTGACCAAGTTTTGGCTTGGTTTGTTCTGTGGGCTTCTCTTGGTTATGGGCATCTGGTTCAATCGGGTTACTTGTTGGGCCTCTCTGTAATCACTATGTATATTGTAAAGGTTAAGCCCATTTTGTTGTTTCCACCTTATGATCTCAAAAATTCAATAAAAATGAAACTTTTTGACAAAAAAAAGGTCCAAAAATCTATAATATAGATACCTTAACTCCAATAAATAACAAAAGCATGGACTATCGAAAAGATTATTTCAATCTTTTCATTATAGAACATATTGTCTCCTCTTCAATAACTTAACAGGAAACAGTAATGTAAAAAACATAAAACCATCATTAGTCTCAAATTAATTAGAGAAAAACACATTAGAAATAAATTTACACATAGGATCGAACTTTTAACATGTAATGGATCAGAACCCTTCTAGTGGACTTGTATCGAACTCCCGACTGTTCAAGTTCAATACTTATAACAAAATATCTTAAACTCTGAGAGGATTATTGTGTAATAATGACGTGGACAGATCCAAGTGGATCCTACCGAAAATGTGTGGGATCCGACCCCAACATTTAGTCCCCCAAGTCTTGCGAGCTGAATGCTCGGCTTGGAAGACTTAAGTAAATAGTAATTAATGAATCGAGATCTTTGTCATCTTGGAATTTTCCCATGTTTTACGCTGTTACGCCGATTTCGGAAAATCAGATGATTTGATTTCCTTGACAACCGTCATCATTAAGTTCTTAATTTTATATTAATACTGCAGGGAAAACTGTCCCGCTTCCCAATATTTCTGAGGCGGTCTTCCATCTTACTTTTGGGTCCTAATAGGTAATATTACTTTCCCATCTTATCTTCTTTACCTAGAAAACTTTCACTCTTATTACAGAGATTATTGTTTCCTTTCGGTAAAACCACTTTCGTAAAATGTCGAACCTCCCTTCTGAAATTCGCGAGTATGAGGTTGAAGATCTCGAAGCTTTCATGGGTGAAGGAACCGAACCTCATATCCAAACCGGAGACGGGTTTGATCTTCACCCTCAGAGTCAATCGACTGTTGATTCTCTTAACGATCTTCGTCGCTTATGCCACATTCCCCCTGAAGTGGAGATGGTGGTCCCGGAGCCCTACGAGTCTCCGGAGTCGGGGCGAGAGGGTTATTGATGCGCCTATGAAATTTATTTCAAAGGATGCGGCTTGTTCTTTCCCCTTTCCGAGATACTTCTCATTTATCTCAACCATCTGGGAATCGCCTTCTCTCACATGTCGCCCAACATGCTCCGGTATCTTATGTGTACCTTCACTGTTGCGGCGGAGGCGGGCTACTCGCTGGGACTTAACGAGCTCTTGGAATTCTTCCAGGCTCGTGAATCCCGAACTTCTGGGTAATTATGCCCTTTATCCGATCGCAGACCGGAATCTTATTGATGGCCTGCCTTTAAAAGACAACGCCTGGAGGAAGTTTTGGTTCATCTTCCGTATAGATAGTTTTTCTGTTCAGAGTTCTTCTGAACTCCTCCGATTTCGCTGGTCATCGAATTTGGGTAGAAACTAGGACTTAACTGAATAAGTTTCCCATGTTATTTCGAACTGCGCTAACATTTTCTCGTTTTTCCGCAGGTCCCCAAATTCGGCTAGTTCCTTCTGTTGATTTTTTAAACTTTTACAAGGCCGTCCTGGAGAGGCCAGTTAATTGGAATTCTTTTACTTTAGAGAGAATTCACGGTACCGGACATTCTGTCAGAATGGGCCTTACTTATCCCGTCGACCCTCCTCCTGCTGAGATTGATCTCTCGAGTTTGAATGCCCGAGATAGGAGAAGGATCAGAGAAGCAGACAAGAAGGTCAAAGATCAGATCTCCCAGTTTGGAAAAAACAAGAAAAATGCATTCTCCGCCGGGGACGACAAAATCTACCGGAAAACTCTTTTAGTTGACGACGGGTCCCTTGAAGGTTCAAAGTCAATGGCGGTTACCATAAACAATGCTCCTCCCTTCACCCTAGCAGCGGACAATATGATCGCTACTACTGCTGAATTGGAAGGTCTTACAGGCGATTCTTCTTTCATGAAGAAGAGGAAGGCTGAGGAACTCGAACCCCCGCTCCAGGGACGACCCAAGAGCACAAGGAAGGACAGAGCCGCTCCTTCGAACCTGTCAATTCCTGAATCTGCTGAAACTCAGGATGAAAACCCTAATTCAGGAATTGTTTTAAAGGAACCGCTGAGTTCAGGGATGCTACCCCCTAGACGTCCCCGAGGTAATACCTCTAGAGCTCGATCGTCTCCGAGCTCAGGACTTGTTGCCAGAGCTTCATCCCAATCAGGTAACCTTCAATTAACATTTTGTTACTTGAGATTAACCGACCTTTTAGGAGGCTCAATCCTCACATAAATATCTTTATTTTAGATAAAGAAAAGATTGGAAATATCTTTAGATGTTTCTACACTCGCTTTGGGAAGAAACTTCCGTCCTTTGAGCGCTGGAGGCCTGACATCAAGAAGATGTATATCAGTCATTCATTCCACTCCTCCCCGGTTTGACTATTCGAATCCTTAAACAAACGATTTTGAATCCCCTTTTTTTTTTAATGCATTTTCTTTTATCAGGCAACTCTGGATGTGAACAGCATCATCAACCATTACGAAGAGGAGCTTGCCAAAGTTTCCAAGAAAGCTGCTGTTGCTGAAGGAGAGATTGAGAAACTGCAATCTTCCAATCGGCTTGTGCAGGAGACTGCTGGTCTCGACTCGGACAGAGCAAAAACTAAAAAATATCCTTGCTGATCATGACTTTGCGAGAGGTGAGATCGAGCTTCTGAAATCAGAGCTTAGCAAGGTCAAAACAGTCGCCGAGGAGCTCGAACGCAAAAATGAGTCTCTTTCCACACTGAAAGATCAAGATGTTCGCAAGATATCTCATGATGCTCGGAAAGAGGTTAAAGGAGCCGGGCAAAAGTTCCTTCTTGCTGTGCAAGAATTTATCTCCGCGGATAAAGCTTGGAACAAACTTAAATCCGAGCGTGACGAGATGAAGAGCAATCTTGATCTGATCAAGGAGATAGAGGAAGGAACAGTCAATTTGGCTGAAGAAAAGGAGACAATTGGCGCTGAACTCGCCGAGACTGAAGCTAAGCTAGCTACTGCTCCTCAGCCATATTTGGATTTGCAGTAGTTTGCTTCTGAGTTCGCTGATTCTCCTCCATTGACCGAATCAAATACCGGTTTGTCTTTGGATGAGATGATGTTAAGTGGTTCTCCCCGTGCTCATTTTAATGAGTTCGGAACCAATGTTGACAAAATTTCTTTGGGACGAACTCAGGGGTTCCCTGGTCAAGATCCTGCCATCTCCTCGATTATGGGAGATGACTTTGAATCGAGGAGCGAACCCCCTCAGGATGCTAGCTCGCTTAACCCTGAGGTGGTTCTCACAACTCAAGATGCTAACGTCGGGGGTGCTCCTGTCTCAAGCCAAGTAGGAGATGAAGGCGGTTTGCCTATGGATGAATGATGGTGATTGCACTCACCTTTTATGGGGATTGTCCCTTTAATTTTAAGACATGAAATTTGCTTTGTTGGCTATGGGGCCGTTTATTACTCTTTGAGTTTTTTGCCCAAGGGGGCTTTTATTACTGATTTGAATAATTTACCCAAGGGGGTTTTTAATTAAAATTTCTTTAGAAAGAAATATTTAATTTTGGTGGAAACCATCGATTTTACCTGGAGGGTTTGCAAAGTCCTCCTAACCGAAATGGTTTAGAATTATAGGAGAGATAAGCTGATCAGACCTACTTGCCTTTTTTAAAGAAAAAACATTAGAATTTTTCCTCGGTCTCTCGGTTGCGAGGTTAGAGCTCGGCTTACAAGAACACTTCGTGATACTTCAAAATATGTTCGATTAGAAAAATTTTCAGTGAGAACTGTTTGCTTTTCTTAAAAAGGACAAAAAGGTATGATACCATTTATTAACTGTCCTTGAATTTCACGTTCGAAATTAAGTTCGCCTACTAGGTGTTAAGTGATACTTGAATAACCTATATTTCGTAGGTCTTGTTTGTGCATGTACGCAAAAATCGAAAGGCTGTAACTGTCAGGTCAATAGATTGATGTTCAACTTTCTTTTTCAATAAATACTCGAGTGAGTGCCCTTATATATTTTTTCTATATAAGGAGAGTTGGATTTTGGAAATTTTCCAATAGATCTTTTTCTTCATAAGGAACTTTGCAGTTCTTCTTTTCTAAATTTCTTGCTTACGATGGCCTCTCCTCAAGGCGATCCTTCTGACCCTAATCCACCACGATTCCCTTCGAATTAAACTCTGTTTCCGACGGGGGACGGATTTACTCCACACGGGGTGGCCATTCCTTGTTTCCTTTCTTCCTTGTCTATGGAAGAAAAGATCGAGTGCCATGAATTCATGGAACAGGTTTGAACTCGATACTAGTAGTTTCAAGGTTTTACTTGATAGATTTGTAATGCATCTGTTCTCTGCAGATCACCGAAAGGTACGTTTTCCTCTGCTCCGAAAGGCAACGCCTTGGAAGAAAACGTCGTGACCTTGAGGACAGAATTGCCAGAACTGAAAGGAAGATCCGACGTTTGGAGTCGGATGTTCACAACTGGGAGAGGAGGGGATTTGACTCTATCGCTCGCATTCCCCACTGTCTTCGAAAGCACATCGGGTTTCTGAAGAAGCATTGGGATATCTACCAGAGGAGCCTCGAACCCGGTGAACGCGAAAGCGGTTCTTCTTCTGACGAAGTTCCTTCTGCGAACTCTCCTCCCTCTTAGTTATTATTATTATTTTGTAACAGACTATTGGGCTAGTGGCCCGGCAATATTAATTATATTTCCCCTTTTGCTTTAAATTTGCCGATTTACTTAAATCTTATTTAATGCGTTTTAATCTAGGGAATATAATTAGCGATTAACTCGATTACATTTTCCATGAAGGTAGTAATTTCAGATTTGGGAA